CCTAGAAATTTGTCCATTCCTCAATTTTCAGTTGTGTGCACTAAAGATTTTTGTAGTTTCATGATTATATCTTGTACTCTTTGGATAGTTGTGATATCTCCTTTGCTGTTCTGATGAGCTTTATAGGATCTTTTCTGCTTTTTCTTAGCCTTAGCCAATGCTGTATTGTTTTATTTTTCAACGAACAACTTTTTGTTTTATGTAATCTCCTGATAGCTTCCCTGTTTTAATTCGTTATTCTGATTTGATCTTTCATATTCTCTCTCTTCTTGGGTTTCGGGTGGCCGCTCTTATTTTCCATTCGCTCTTTGAGTCCGTTTCATTAGATTGTCTCATTTGTGATCTTTTGTGGCTCTTTGGTTATAGGCATGGTTGTATGGAGGTAAACTTTCCTCTCAGAACGTTTATCTGTCTGTCCACGAGGTTGATAGCTTGTCTCTCCATCTGTCTTTTGCTTCATAGAATTTTTTTATTTCCATCTTGATTTCTTCATTTATGAAGTAATCATTTAGTAGGAGGTTGTTTAATTTCCACATTTTTGTGTAGAAATGTGAGTTTCCGTTAGGGTTCATTTCTACTTTTATTCCACTGTGATCAGAGAAGGTACATGGTATGATTTCTATTTTTTTAAATTTCTTGAGATTTACTTTGTGTCCTAGAATATGGTCAATCTTAGAGAATGTCCCGTGATCTGATGAGAAGAACGTATATTCCGTGGATTTTGGGTAGAATGTTCTGTAAATGTCAGTCAGACCCAATTGTTCCAGAGTTTTGTTTAACTCCATTATTTATTTATTAATCTTTGTTTGGAGGATCTGTCTTATGCCGTCAGTGGGGTGTTGAAATCTCCGGTGAGTATGGAGTTGCTATTAATCCATTTGCTTAGATCCAGTAATGTTTGCCTTATGAAACTGGGTGCACTAAGTTGGGTGCATATATATTTAAAATTGTTATCTCTTCTTGTTGAAGTGTGCCCTTCACCATTATCTAATGACCCTCTTTGTCTTTCACTACTTTTGTTGGTTTAAAAATTAAATCGCCTGAAATTAGAACTGCCAGGCCAGCTCTCTTTTGGCTTCCACTTGCCTGGAATACTGTTCTCCACCCTTTTACTTTTAATCTGTATGCATCCTGGCAGGTTAGATGTGTTTCCTGAAGACAGCATATACTTGGCCTGTATTTTCTTATCCATTCAGCCAACCTATGTCTCTTGAGTGGAGAGTTTAAGCCATTCACATTTATTGAGAGAACTGATAGGTAACGTAGGTTATTGTTCATTCTGTTGGGTTGGATGTTATTGGTTTGATTTCTCTTTTGAGCCATTATATTATCTGGCCTTTAATCTTTGGGGTTTGGTTGTTTTTATATTCGTGAGTTTTTTTTTATGGTGTTCCGTGCGTAACACTGTTTTGAGTACTTGTAGGGCTGGTCTTGTCTTGGTGAATTCTCTGAGACTTTGCTTGTCTGAGAATGTCTTTATTTCTCTTTCATATATGAAGCTTAGTTTTGCAGAGAATAAGATTCTAGGCTGGGCATTGTTTTGTTCAGAAGAGTGAGAATGGGGCCTCAGTCTCTCCTTGCTTGTAAAATCTCAGTAGAGAAGTCTGGTGTTATTCGAATTGGCTTTCCCTTGTATGTTACTTGCTTCTTTCGTCTTACAGCTCTTAGAAGGGCCTCTTTAGTTGATATTTTGATCAGTCTGATGACTGCATGTCGTGAAGTCTTCCTGTTTGCATTGAATCTCCCAAGGGTCCTCTGAGCTTGTTGAACTTGTATATCGAGATTTTGAGCAAGGCCTGGGAAATTTTCCTCTATTATATCTTCAAATAGCTTGTCCAACCCTTCAGTGTTGTCTTCTTCCCCTTCTGGTAACCCTATGACCCTCACATTAGGTTTCTTCAGATAATCCCACATCTCTTGTAGGCTTTGCTCTTTTCTCTTGTTTCTCTGCTCTATCTCTTTGACTGTTTTATTCATTTGGAGGGTGTTATCCTCAATCTCTGAGATTCTTTCATCTGTGTGATCTACCCTGTTCTTGAGACTTTCCACTGTATTTTGTAGTTTCCTCAACTGATTCTTCATTTCCAGGAGTTCTGTTAAACTTTTCTTCATTGTGTCTATTTCTTTATTGAACTTTTTCCCCAGGTCCTGGAGGTTTTTTGTGGTTTCTTTGTGTTGGTTAATGAGTTGTTCTTGCAGGTCGTTGAATTTTCTGATGATCCACATTCGAAATTCCTCTTCTGTCATTTTTGTTGCCTGATTTGGGTTGCTGTCTGTTTCTAGGGGGCTGGTGCTCCTCTTTCGGGGTGTGTTTTCCGTTTGGTTCTTCATATTTTCTGAGTTCCTTCGCTGATTTCTTCCCATGTCGATCACTTGTTGTTTATTTTTTTAAGGTTTTCGTTTGGGTAGTCACACGCCTTGTTTAGTTTCTGAGTCAGTAGGTGATGTCTGTGGGTGAGATTCGACCACTGCCTGTATAATGAGTCAGTGGGTGCCGTGAAAAGGCTGTGCAGGATGTCCTCCCTGTCAGTAGATGGCTCTTGCTTAGAGGAACAGGCTACGCTGTTGTTTTTGTGTCCTGTTATCAGCTCTTGTTCCTGTAGAGCGGCACTCTAGTGCCTCAGGTGGTCACAGGGGCCCTGGGACTTCCAGGTGTGTCCTTTTCTCCCCCTCAGTGAGGGCTGGTCTAGGAGAGAGCCTGGGAGGAGCTGGGTTTGGTAAGCCTTCATTGAGGTTTTGATTTGCATTTCTCTAATAATTAGAGAAGTTAAGCATTTCTTTATATGTTTGCATGCCATTATTCTGTCTTCTTTGGAGAAGTTTCTTTTCATTTCTGTCGCCCATTTCTTGATGGGATTGTTTGTCTTTTTCTTGTTAATTCTTTTAAGTTCTAGATAGATTCTTGTTATTAGACCTTTATCAGAGGTGTAGAGAGAAAATATTTTCTCCCACTCTGTGGGTTGTCTATTTGCTCTACTGATGGTGTCCTTGGCTGTGCAGGAACTTTTTAATTTGATCAGATCCCATTTGTTTATTTTTGATGCTACAGTCATTGCCTTGGGGGTCTTCCTCAAAAATTCTTTGCCTAGGCCAATGTCTGATAGGGTTTTCCCAACATCTTCTTCTAGGATTCTTCAGGTTTCATGCTTTAAGTTTAAGTCTGTTATCCATCTTGATTGAATTTTTGTGAGAGGTGAGAGGTAGGGATCCTGATTTGCTCTTCTGCATGTAGCTAGCCAATTTTCCAAGCACCATTTATTTAAGAGAGATTCTTCTCCCCAATGTATATTTTTGTCAGCTTTATCAAAGATTAGATTACCGTATACTGATGGTTTCATCCCTGGTATCTCAGATCTATTCCAGATATCTATGCTTCTGTTCTTGTGCCAGTACCAAGCTGATTTAACTATTATTGCTTTATAGTACAGCTTGAGGTCAGGAAGACTGATGCCTCCTAGTTTGTTCTTTTTATTTAAGATTGCTTTGGCTATACGAGGTTTTTTCTGGTTCCATACGAAGTGAAGAATTATTTTTTCTAGATTTATAAATAATGCTGATGGTATTTTGATGGGGATTGCATTGATTCTGTAGATCACTTTAGGTAATATTGACATTTTAACTATAGTGATTCTACCAATCCATGAACAAGGTAGATTTTTCCATCTGTTTAAATCTTCTGCTATTTCTTTTTTTAGTGTTTCATAGTTCTCCTTGTATAAATCTTTTGTATCTTTCATTAGGTATACTCCTAGATATTTAATTTTCTTTGGGGCTATAGTAAAGGGTATTGCGTTTTTTATTTGAGTTTCTGCTTGATGGTTCTTGGCATATATGAATAGAATTCCTAAACAGACCAATCTCAAGCTCAGAAATTGAAGCAGTAATTAAAAACCTGCCCCCCCCCAAAAAAAAAACCTGCCCAAAGGGAAAAGTCCTGGGCCAGATGGTTACACTTCAGAGTTCTACCAAACATACAAAGATGAACTCATACCTATACTACAGAAACTATTCCACACCATTGAGAAGGATGGTATCCTTCCTAACTCATTCTACGAAGCCAATATCACCTTGATACCAAAGCCAGGAAAGGACACAACAAAAAAAGAAAAGTACAGACCAATATCCCTCATGAATACAGATGCAAAAATCCTAAATAAAATTTTAGCGAATAGAATTCAGCAGCACATCAAAAAAATAATTCACCATGACCAGGTGGGCTTTATTCCAGAGATGTAAGGATGGTTCAACATACGCAAGTCTATAAATGCAATTCACTTCATAAATAAAATCAAGAACAAAGACCATATGATTCTGTCAATAGGTGCAGAAAAAGCATTTGACAAAGTCCAACACACCTTTATGATAAAAACTCTTAACAAAAAAGGCATAGATGGCTCATACCTTAAACTTATTAAATCCATCTATGACAAACCCACTGCTAATATCATTCTAAATGGAGAAAAATTGAAATCTTTCCCCCTTCGATCCGGAACTAGACAAGGGTGCCCGGTATCTCCTCTCCTATTCATCATAGTACTTGAAGTCCTAGCGATAGCAATCAGACAGGAGAGGGGTATTAAGGGCATCCAAGTTGGGGCAGATGAAATCAAACTCTTGCTCTTGGCCGATGATATGATATTATACCTAGAAAACCCCATGGGCTCTTCCAAGAGACTCCTAGACTTGATAACCGAATTTGGTAAAGTTTCAGGTTATAAAATCAATATACACAAGTTATAAGGTCCTATTCTTAAGTGGTTTGCCTTTAGGTGCATTCTCCTGTTGTCTTCCACTTTTACTAGAATTTTTAAGTCCTTTGTATTTCACATCATAGTGAATCATTTAGTTATTTTTAAGAATAACTTAAAAAAAATAACTTAAGAATTCTTTCTTAAGAGTCTCTGAATACAAAATACCAAATTAAATTTCCCAAACAAAGCCTATTTTAATTTTTGATTCCTCTAGACACAATTCTGTTTCTTTTGGTTTAAATTCTGCAGGTGTTTCACCAAAACCAACGGCACTTCCAGTGGCAGCCTTCTTCCTGTAGTCCCTGTGGTAGCACCTTATCTTCGGGATGGCTTGGAAATGAAGCCCCTCAGCCACATGCAGATGTCTGTGTGTCTGGCTCCCACTGTCCCTGCTTGTGGCACTTTGCCTGAGGAGAGCATCAGGGACAATGTGCCGTCAATACCTGTTCAGCACACTTGCTGTCAGGACAACATAAATGACATCAACTCTGATTACACAGAAGATACAGCAGAGTTCAGCAGAGGTACGGGGGTGGCATAACAAACCTCAAGTTTCTAGATAGTCTTCAGTTAGCTAAGAAATACATAAGGGAGGGTGATGCTCTCAGAGGGTCCCCTCTGTGATTAGTTTACATATTTCTTAAGAGACTGGAGTGGGGGTGGGGGCAATGTTGGATACTCTAAGAAAAGATGGGACTAGAAAACGGATTCTTTGAAATTCTGTTATTACTCACATCCTTCATCTCAGGCTGTTAATCCCATTACATTTTGAAAAATATATCCAAACAGGCCTTGCTTCAGGCTATACCTGAACAGAAGGCATGCTGGAAGAACACATTTTGTGAGCATGGGCCTCATTTTCTTTTACTTTTGTTCTGGAGTTGTAGCCTTTCTTAGAGGTGGTTATTTTGGGGCTTTTAAGGGGTTTGTCTTAATCCTCAGATGAATTATATAACTATTCGTGAGAGCTCAACTTTATTTTAATCCTTTTACACACCCTCTTCCTTAAATTCAAACCAAACATAACTAGGTTCTACTTTTACTTATTATTCTTTCTTTATTGCTCTAAGTAATATTAAACTGCTTTGTAAAAATCAGCCTTTATCATTTTATAATGTTCTCAAACCTTTCTGTTTTTCAGGAGACAGCTGTATCAGTTTAGAAACGGAGAACAAAGCTCTAGGTTGGAATGCTCTTATTTTGCCCCCTGTCTTAGAGGACTGTACTGAGAAGACAGCACGGCGCCCCCCTGGCATTCCTTTAGACAGCTCGTCAGGGACCCTGCAGTGACGCCAGGAAACCTGACGTGCAAATGACTAGTCATGTTTCCGTGTCCAGCCAGTAACTGCACGAAACAGCTCTGGGAATGAACTATGTGAAGGATCTAATTCAAATCAGAGAAAATCATTATTTATTTTTTTTGTAGTAGTAATGTCATCTGAATGTATCTTAAAATGTGTGTCCTTTTATATTATTTATGCCTTAAAATGTTTCTTCCCTATTTCTCCCCCCCCCCCCAGTAGGAAACAACCTTGTTTTGTATAGTTTCCAATCATCTGGAGCACAGTGGAATGATTTCATGCTTTCTACAACCCTCGGTGACAGCAGGCGCTCCTCATGCACAGGGTCTCGGCGGCTGGAAGACAAGCCAGGAGGGAGTTGCAGGGGCCATTTGAAGTTTGCCAGCACACAGGTTTTCAGATAGAAAACTGTCTTCCAGTACTGTATTATCAGACTTTCTGAGAACATTTTGAAAGCAACCACAGTTGTGACCTAATGCTCATCGTAGCAGATCTGGCTGGTATTTTATGAGTGCCTTTCACAAAATTGATAGTGATTTTCTATCAGTACATGGGTACAGGAAATGTTCAGTCTTCTAGGCACTAGTTATAAGCAGCATCCTGGACACAGTTGTGTGAAAGATTTAGTGAACTATTGCAGTATGCAGAAAGGGAACCAAGGCCAGAGAGGAAAAATAATGTTTTAATGTCCCACCACTTTCAAATTACATTAACTTATAAAATAGCCACCGTGGGGCTCCTTTAGACCGTTACTAAGGGTAAAAACAAAGTGAGACTTTAAGTGGTGGCTTGAAGAGAAAGAATTTTAAGAAAAAGGGGACGGCTCCAGGGAGCCGTCTTGCCAGAAGCTCGCCCACCTGTCCCGCCGAGCACAGCCGCGCTGTGGCACCGCCCTGCTGCGCAGCCACTTCTCACTGCCAGTGTGCCACGGTCAGAAAGATGTGCGTGTCAGAAAAGACTTAATTGGGAAGAAAAGGTGCTTTTTTTAACTTCTTGACTTTTTTTCCAGAATGTCATCATTGTAAACAGACACTGCAACTGTGGTCAGCAGGGCGCAGACGTCATTGCTGCCTCTGTGTACAAGGACCTTTGCAGCTGCCTTCAGAAGGCCGTTCTCCTCCATGTTAAAGACACAAGCGCACACAATAAATGGATTTCACAGCTTGAGTCAAGCTTTGATGGATCACTGCTTCTTTTTGTTTTGTACATCCCTTTGGGGAAAGAAACAAAAACTTAATCTGCTTATGTAGGGTCAGGCAATCCCGGCAGAAATTGCAGTGGCATAGAATACAATACGATGTTAACCAGTTTTCTATATAATTGCATCAGTATTCCCTTACATATGTCTGTGTGTTTTATAATAGAACTGCTAGTGGAAATGTGCTTTTTTAAGCTGGGTCACCATGTAAGAGTTACTTCCAGTAGAATGTAGCAAATACAATTCCACAGTTAGATATTAGGGGTACTATAGAAGCAAGTTCTACATTTCAGATGTCCACACCTGTTGTATACTAGATTTGTTCTTCATGTTGCTTAGATACAATCAGCTTTGGAGCTGATAGTTGCATCCGTCCTTTCTGTGACTAGCGAGGGACAATGTCCTAGTACACAGAATATGAAAACATACTCTGTGTTTTCTAATCAAGTTACAGGAATGCTGTCACAGAGGGAGTTGGGGAAAGAAAACTGGGGAAGTAATGTCCATAGATAGTCATTTTTGATTCAGGAAGCAGGTGTATTAGCATGAGCCTTAGGTCATAAACTGCTTTTAAAGATTGAATTTGAATATGGGGTTTGTCCATGAGGAAGAAAAAATGGCTTTACCTTTAGGACAATCTCATTGTGGACTTCTTTATTTATAAGTAATGCTGTTTTAAGTGTTATCATTTTTATTGTATTTTATTTATAAAAATGCCTTTATATATTGAGATATATAAATATATATATATATATATATAAAATTTCCTTATGTTTAGGAGTTATGGGTTCTCCCTAAGTGTAAGTTGCTCTGAAATTTTATGCCCTGCACAATCACCAAATCAGTTCTACCTAATGTCTTTTCACCAGGAGATAAGAAGACATAGTATAGAGCATGGGAGATAGCATTAACGTTTGTTGAGTAACTGCTGTGTACCAGGCACTGTGCTGGGTGCTTGTCACTGTTATCTCTTTTAGCCCTCACAACAAATTGTTAAAATCCCCAAGACATGCATTGAGCCATAGAGCTTGATTGGAACTCAGTTTATCTGGAGTCATAATCTGTGCTCCCCACATTTTTCCACACTGCTTTCCAAAAGCACTGTGGTTCACTCTCTTGATGGAACCAGTCCTGTTCCACAAGCCATCGTCTGCCCTGCGATGCGAGTCCTCCCTGCGCAGGCAGAGGTCTGCTCATACTTGTCTCCCAGAAATCCACACTCCTCTCCTTGGTGCCCCCCCACCATACCCAGGAATTTGATCTTCACTTGGCTCAGTGATCATGAAACTAGTCATGGCTCTTCACATCCTTTGTCATTCCTAGGATTCTGTGTGATTCTTTGTTTCAGCATTAAACTTCCCCCACTCCCATTAAACCACCCCACTCTTCCCCTTGTACTTGAGCACTCGCAGTCTGGTGGTGATGGGTGCGGTCCGCGGTGCAGGTTAAATCGCAGTGTTCTAAACCTTTTGAAGTGGTCTTTACAAAAGCATTTCTTTCTGGGTTTTGTTTTTGTTGAATGAGTCTGTGAAGACTAAGGCATCCATCCTGGGCTGATCATGCCACAAATCTCATTCTAGCTACAGAACTGCCAAGAAGTTAACGTTTATAGTTGAATTTCACCTGTGTTGCTCTCTTTTAAAACACTGACTTTGAGATACATGCTGTGTAGCATATTGAAAAGTATATTTTATCTTCCTTAAAGTTGTAATATTATGTTTGAAATTGTACATATTCTAAACGATGTAGCTTTGATAAGTTGTATTTTGTTGATATGATTTTATATTAAAAGAGAATGCTGCTTTCATACAGAGTAGCCTCTGAAGATGGGGTATGCAGATTTCCCCCCGCATTTGTACAAAGCTGCTTATAGTTTGTGGTTGGGGGGGGGTGAATGTCTTACTCTGAAATTCTTTGGAAGCTCTATCTTGTCCTTCCTTGAAAACCCCTGTGTACACCCAGGAGCTCAGCGTGTTAATCCCTTCTGCTCTGGGTGTGGAGATGAAGGCACTGAAGGGGCAGGATCTTGGGCAGGTGTTTATGAGGAGGCTGAGAGGACACTTGGACCAAGGGGCTGTGGGACCAGGCAGACCCCTCAGGGCAACTTGCCACTTCCTCGGACAGAAGGGAGGAGGACAGGACGGGAGAGAAGCTGGGGCGAATGAGGAGAGGTCCTTCTCGGTCTCTCTTTACCGTTAACATCTGTAGGTACTCCAGGGTAGAAATTTAGCCTCTTCAAGAATAAACTTTGTTTTACAGCGCTAAAAAAATTGAAATTGCTAGGCTTCTCTGTTTGGCCTTTTCTGTTTTATTTCCTATATATAAATAAACCTTAGACCCAGTCCTGAGAGCTCTGAGGGAAGCTGAAACCTCTTTTCCAATAGTGTAACTGTGAGAACCGAAGAAGCTACTTCAGTTTCTCTCAGTTTTCTGTCTCCTTTTAGGCGCCACTTTCTGTATTGCAGGCAGGTCGCCCCTGGGCTTGCTTCCTGTCTCTCCTCACCTGAGTCCTGACTCTTCCAGTCAGCTGGACAAGCATGCGTTGTGCTTCACTCAGATTTCAGACACACATACACATGAGCCAGTGAGTCATGCTGGCAGCTGACAGTGTGACTTTGGAACAGCCAGTTCTCTGTCAGGCAGCTCCCCGCCTGGTAGCAGGAAGCTGCATCTGCTGTGTCTGGTTGGCTCGGACTCCTGGAGTCTGCCCGCTGCAGCCTCGCATTCCTGTGCTGCAGCCACATGCAGGGAACACACCTCCACGCCTTGCTGGGCCCACTAGCAAAACCTGGACTCAGCCATCAGCCTCTCTGGGAGCTACAGTTGAAATAGTCCTCTATTAGTGCGAACATAGGCGTGGTTTATTTAGGAATTGCTCACTCTACAGACTTTCTTCTGGAAGCAGCTAGCTTGCTCACACTTTTATAGCACCAGAGATGGTTCCCAGTACCACAGCTTTCACTTGCCTTGAGACACCCAGCGACTCTTCTGTCCAGTGTGTGTCTTCCTCATCCTGTCACTTCTGTCTTCCACAGGCTGGGCCAGAGCTTCTTTTCTCACCAAGTCATTAAGGTTTACTGCAGCTGGGACTTGCGCTGATTATAAAGACTGGGTATTAAGTGGGGAAGTGTAGCTGGTGCCTTTGCTACCGTGGTTTTAAGACCAAAATGTGACAAAGGGGCTCTTCTCAAACCTACGTGCCCTCTCTGGGCCTATTTGCATCTTCCTCTTTGGGCCTCACGGTGTTGCCATCACTGCGATGGTGACTTACTGGAACATCAGGGACTCTTGTGCAGGATTAGAACCTGAGTGGTGGCTGGTGTTCAAGGCCTGCAAAGAGCGTGTATGGGGGCAAAGAAGATAACTGCCCTGGGAGTGTCCCAGATGGTTCCCAGAGAATAAGAGAAACCGAATTTCATGCCCGGCACTCAACACAGGTCTCTGTGTTCATGAGCAATCTTTGGGATGACCGATGCTCACCTGCCTGTGCCTCAGTACCTTCCCTCGAGCCCCTCTGTTGGTGTCTTTGCTCTCTGAAGGTGAGGTAGGAGAGTAAAGTCAGTGGCAACTCATTTGTCTAGCCTCCTTTCCAATTGGAGGAAAGCCCTGGGCCCCAGAATGACAGTTCTGTACTTGCATGGGAACAAGCAACTGACCAAGGCCTGTGGAATGGAAAAGAAAATGAATATTATTTGGCCAACCCAGCAACGATACCAGAAAAATGGCCCTTCGTACTGGTAGGCTTCATACTAGTGTCTCAGAAACCCAGAAGGGAATGGCCCCAAATGCCTGAGTTGGGAGTCAGAGCCTAGAAAGACAGCATCTAGCATGGGGAGAGCCTCGGTTCTTCACCCAGGCAGTACCACCTCACTTATTTGGATGGGTCTAGACCCAGCCACTCCATGGGGTCAAGCAGCCCCTCCCTTCAGATGCCCACTCATGGGGGCAAGTCTGCAGGTGCTGGCGGGCAGCATACCACCATTCCTGTGCCCGCCGCACCCAACACTGCTGGATGGGCACTGAAGCAGGGTCTGCTAGCAGGGCAGAGCAGGGGTTGTGTGGTTTAGAGCCACTGCAGAATTTGGGCAACAGTGGCTGCTAGGGTACCTGCTTATCCAGTCCCCTCCAGCTGACATGGGAACCAAGAGCAAGGCTTGCCCCAAAGAAGCTGGAGAAAGGTCTCTCCCAGGGAGCAAGTGCCAAACCCCTGCTGGTTACCCTGGCAGATTGCACTGGAGGGAAGTATGTCACAGGGAGGAGGTTCCCAGGATGGAGCGGGAAGCTGGGAGCCCACCTGCACCCCAGAAGGTGAGACAGGCACAAGTGGGCTCCTGTTCTTATTTAATCACCAACACCTTCTTAATCCACTTTGGCTATTTCTTCAGATTCACATTGAATTAGGGCTCCTCGAGGCCTGGAGCCTTCTAAGCCCCCAAGGGAGGGATGGGGAAGAGTCATAAAGATGACCCGAGGACCCTGAGGAGAGGGCAGAGAACAGAGGCTGGGGACTCAGTAGGAAGGAAGCAAAGGGACAGAGAGGGATCCCCTGTGGAAAGGAAGAGGAACCAGGTCCAGTTCCTTGGAGAAGGGTGAGACCCCCACAGCGCTGGCCCTAGCACCTGGCGTCGACACTGCAGAGGGATATCCCACTATGTGGTGATTCAGAGCCAGGATGTGGAGGCATAAGTAACCCCTGGGTCCAAGCCTCCCTGCCACCGAACCCTGCTCTCTGGTTCGATGTCACTAGCAGCTGTCTCCCAAGCCCCAGCTCCTGGGCCTGAGGCACTGGCTGTCTGCTGCACCAGTGTTGAAAGGAGCTCACAGTGTCGTTAAGAAAACAGACAGACATTGCAGATTGTCTCAGCAAGGCAAAATCTTCTGATCAGAAGGGCATGTAGTGGTAGCAAAAGCAGCCAACCAGCTGTTGTGCTATGGGGAAGTTCTTCACCTTTTAATCCTTAATGCAGACCTAGGGCTATGTATCATCCCATTGGTGTCGTGGCCCGATTACAGGACGAGGGATGACACACAGAACACATAAGACACAGACAGACAGAATTGGCTGTAGTCCCGGAAGAAAAAAGGACACAGAGACGAGATGGTTTCAGACTGCAGCACTGAAAATGTGCTCGTCATTTATTTATATACAGTTTAATTGGGCAAGCATCCCGCAGCTATTTTCTCATGCCAGCTACTTTCCCAGCTACTTTTTGGTATGTGACTTCCCATGGCCAACAACACCTGCTTTTCCAGTCAAAGCAAAAAGCATGGCCTTCTACAAGAGGTCTCTTTTGATGTTTGACACTGTTTTCAGATAACAAACAATCTCGGCTCGAGTGCGAGACCACGAGTCCTTGACCATCTTGCAGCACCTAGCACCGCGTGCTGGTTACCAGGCAACCTTGGCTCGCATGCGAGGCCACAGGTTCTTGGCCGTTTGCCTGGAGAAAGAGTTTCTTCAGCCAGTCAACAAGCCACGTCCTGCTAATTGTGGGAACAAGCAATGGGCTCCCGTTCTGCTGACTTGGGGTCTCAGCCAATCTGACCCTGGACGGCTCGCTGCAGCTCCCTTCACATTGGAGGGACTTTGACCTCACAATCTTGTCCTTACCCTATTGACCAAGGTGTGTTGTTGAGGTATAAGGGAGAACACGAAGTTAAAGTTAGTAAATGTGGGGATTTTTTTGTATTGCAATAAAGGAGATTAAACCAAGGTTATTGTTATTGTACAGTTTGTGCTATGTCTTATGTATAATTATGTACAGTTGGATATCGGATAGAATATTCCTTCGGCAGAAAAGATTAGGCCCAGGTCATCTCCTCCTACACCAGGAAGCCCTGGTCGCCCACTTCCACTGCACTGCACCTTTCTCCGGTGCGTCCTTAGGTGAAGCTGCTGATGGCAACGTTGGGAGGAGCCGAGTATCCTGGGAAGAGGGCGGGACACATCCAGCACATGTGTACCCACAGCCACGTGTGCTTGTGCACCCAGATTTGCTCCTGCTGAGAGATAGCCTGGCAGTGTGGAAAAGGCACAAGATTTCACCTTGTAGACCTGTCTAGTCTCAGTTTCCTTAACCATGAAATGAAGAAAAGGAGATTATTTTGACTGCATCGAGCTCTAGTTGCCTGTATTCAAGAGTGTGCCAGGTTCACACTCACATAGTTCACCAAGGTGAACTCATGAGGGGCCTGCCTGTGCCGGAGGGAGCTCGAGGGTCCACATTTAGAGCAGGGAATTCCTGTGCCTTTGCACGTAAGGTGCTCTGCGGCTGCTGGTCTCCCACCCCTCGTCACACAGGCACAAACCACCCTCACTCACGCAGGACCTCCAGCAGCACGCTGCGACCGCTGTTGCCCACAGTGCTGTGGGCCACGCATTGGTCGGTGCCCCTGTGGTGGGCTGGGTCAGCATCTCTGATGCCAAGGTGCAGCTGGGCACCCTCAGGGTGCAGCACAAATCCTGGCTCCATGTGCTGTTGCTGGGGTCCCGGCCAGAGAAGCTGGGCAGGTGATATGTGCCCCCCTCCCGGAGGGCACACTCCAGTCAGGCCTCTCCCCCTCCAACACCGACACCTGAGGCTCTCCCACAGCCAGCTGTGGGGCTTCTGAGGGGACAGAGAGGGAGAGGCTGGGACAGGTCCCCCACCCAGCTAGTGGGAAGGGTTGGGGTAAGGCGCTGCATGCAGTAGAAGGGATAGAGAAGAAAGGGGAGAGAAGATGGGGAGGTTGTGGCATTGACAGTGAAGCCTGTCTGGGGCCACCTGCCTCCTCACTTGGGATCCTGTTCTGTGCTGAGTTCCTATTAACGTCAGCTCCAGGCTTGGCCCACAACAACAGTGTTCTCCAGGCTTTTCCCCGCCCTGTCCTCGCCTTGGCTTCTGCAGGTAGGGCTCTGCCTGAACCGCCCCGCATCTGGCATGGGCCTCCCCACTTGAGGGCCTCTAGGCTTAGTGCCAGGCCCACAGCAAGTGCTCAGTTTTTATGGACTGACTCTGATTAGAGACCCAGACTCTTAGGTGTCAGTCTCCTACGATGGAATTTCCCATCCTCAGAATGAGTAATAGGGAAGGAAATCTCTGGGGTTGAGAACCTCCTTAGAGCCCTCAAGAATACGCTAGTCACCAAGCCTTTGGAGACTGAGTGATAAGCCATTGCATGAGAACTGTTTCGTGTGACACCTCCTATGCTTTGCTCACATTTTTTAACTTAGATATTTAATTCTTTTTTCTTGAGTCGGCAATAAATGGACTGACAGGGCCAGATGAAGACAGAGAGAGGAACAAGATCAAAAACAAACGGAGTGGAAGAAGCAGAGAGACCTTGGTCTCCTGAGACATTAATGCGAGTGAAGAATATTAGCAGGCACTGCCGTATGCAAATCCACACCAATGAAAGTACCATGGCCACAGCTATGACTACTAAGCCCTTGAACATGGCCATCCATGTCAAGATACACGGTAATTGTAAAAACACACATCAGATTTTGAAGACAAGATAAAAAAGGAATGTAAAAGATCTCATGATAATAAACTGAATATATTGGATTAAATAAAATGTTTCACTTTTTTGTTTTTACTTTTTTTAATATGGCTACTTGAAAATTTAAAATCACATATATGGCTCTCATTCTGTTTCTATTGCACAACTCTGGCTTGGAACGACCCCCTCCTTTTATGGATCAAAAAAAAAAAAAAAAAACCACTTGAGTCCCTGGAAGCTGAGGTGACTCTCCTGACTCACTTTCCATCACAGCACAGCCACCCCCCAGAGCCCCTCACCTGGGTTCTAAAGGGCTGCTCCTTCCATCCCAGCCCAGAATGGAGTCACTAGCCCCAACTTACCCAGCTGCAGCTGGCAGTGGTGGTCAAGGGTCCTGAGTGGGCTAGTGCCCTGGCAGATGAACTCTCTACCAACCAGATCTGCCTGGATCTGCAACAGGTGCACACCCAAGGAGGGGCTGCTGCTGCCCATCAAGCCAGCTCAGTGTGGCCAGGGGTCACCCCCCAGTCCACTCACAACTCAGCATGATCAACTGGTGTACCATCATGGCTGTGGTCTCACAGGTGGGGCTCCTGGGAGCTTCCCCTGGAAGGAATGATGGCTTACACAGCCCCGTGGGAGGAGGAAGGGCTTGGCAGTTTTTCCCAAGCCCTTCCTTCGTTTGTTCCTTCGCTCACTTATTGCTCCATTACTCTGTAACTCACGTATTCATTCATCATTTAATGCGGGCTGATCATATGCCAGGGAGATGGTGAGAACAGATACTAAGCAAGCAATTATAATTTGATAAATGCTGGAATATAGGTAGAAAGACAAACTCTCTGGGGCTTTAGGAAGTAGCACTTTGCAGATAGGATGACATCTGGACTCTGTCTTGGCAGATGAATGGGACTTTCCCAGGCAGAGAGGAGGCAGAAGAGCACACTTAGCCTCAAGAAGGCTAGAGGCATGTTTCAAGATCAAGATGCCATGGAGTAGTAGAAGTGGGATGTAAGGTTGATGAGAGCCCGGAGGCGGGAGACAGTGGGGAGGTGTCCTAGGGCCCCAAGCCCAAATGAGGAGGACAGAGCACAGTGTGAATAGGGGAGTGGGGAGGTAAGAGCTGAGAGCTGAGGGTGGCCCACTTCCTTGTCATGTGGCCTCTCTTGGAGCCCCCTCTGTATCTGCTCTGACCCCTACCCACATTTTGCCTAGAATGTCAGAGTCGTGGTGTTTCCTGTGTCTGCTCACAGAGTGTGACCCTACAGAGGGCGGGCAGTGCCACGGCTGAGTGCTGGCCAGTGCAGGTAAAGACGCTGGCGCTGGGGAGCTGGGTGGCTGCATGACTCCAGGTGATGTTGCTGGGGGCAGTAGGGCTGATTCCCAGAGGCCCTTCCCACTGCAGCTGGGCAGCTGGAAACCCAGGTACAGAGCAGAGTCCCAGCCTCAGGCCTGGGGAACACAGCTCAGGAGGGATACCCCCCTGGGGAATCTGGCAGGATGTGGGTGAGTAAATGTGGAGTGCAGCAGGTACCAGCAACAGTGCTCTATAGCCCCCAGGCCCAGTCTGGGGTCTGGAGGCCTGGGGGACCAAAGGTAGGGAAGTAGGGAGAAGTGGGTATGAGGGGAAAGATTGAGGTTCTCTGAGGGCTGGTGGGAGAAAGGTTGAGCTCTCAGGTCAAGGGGCAGGGGGTCCTGGGGTGGGCAGGAGTTCAGAGTTCTTGAGGAATCCAAGGAGCCCCATGGAAGGGCCCATTCCTGTCCTCCTCCTTGGCCCTGGACACCTAGGAACCAGGACACCTTGCCTCACTGTCACTCTGCTTCTCTGTGCCTCAGTCCCATCCTCAGGGCCATGGGGATAATCGCTGCAGGAGGTGCTATGTTAAGTCAAGGAAGTCCCCACCCCTACCCCTTGCCACAGTTTTCTCAGCCTCTTTCCCTGCCCTGAAACTCCACTGAGTTCTCTAGACACCCCTCCCAACTTCTACACCCCTTCCACAGGGCACTGGGACTGCCAGGCACAGGCCTGCGGGGCTCCAGTTGTGGGTTGCCCCAAGGTCAGGTCTGGGCACCCCCCACCCCTACTCACAGTAGATGGTGAGCTGGACGGGAGTCTGGGTGCAGGTGTCCAGGCAGCTATTTCAGGCCGGGAAGGTGTACAGGCCTGTGTGGACATGGCCAGCACTGCTGATGGGCCCAAGTGTGGACTTGTATGTGATCGTGGAGCCACACATAGTGACTAGGAGGGTTGGGTGCAGCCCAGCAGCTTGGCCTTACCTCTTCCCTCTCACTGGCCCCAAAACTCTCCTCAGTGAATCCCAGTGACTCCACGGTGACCGCAGGCTTGTGCGGACCATCTGGAAGGCAAGGAAGGCCTGTTACACCTCCTTGATCTTTATTCCCTCACTCACCTGCACAGTCATCTCTGAATCTCTCCACCCATCCCACAAACATGTAATATACAGCGGCTCTGCGTCCCCCCACCCCGTGCTAGGTCCTCCAGGATTCTGGAGTCCAGGGTCCCGTGGGCAGCACAATGCAAGGTGGTCAGGGCCCAAGGAGGTAAGCACCCTGGGCGGGGCAGCTCAGGAAGTGAGCTGTGGCTCTGGAGGATTCCCTGAGGGACTGCAGGGCTGGGCTGAGTTAGGGAATGCACAAGAGCTTGTTAGGCAAGAGAGAAGTAGCATTTCCAACCCTCCCAGTGTGCCTGGAATTGAGGGATTCCTTGAGCCTGGAAGGTTGGCTGCTTGGGACTACAGGGAGAAGAAAACACGGCAGGGATGATGCCCTGAGTGTGTTCCCAGTAGCCAGCCCTTCCACTTCCTCAGGCCGCCTTTCCCCTCGCTTCTGCACCCTAAGCTCAGTGTCACTGGGAAGCTGTGCCTGCCTCCCACGGAGGGCTGATTCTCTGCCTGCTTCCCAGCAATGCCTGCTCACCTGCCTCCCAGACCCCACACACCACACCTGGGACACAGACACAGGACGCCATCGTGCCTGCTCCTCACATCTCTAGACCATCCTGTTGTCTTCTTTCACACCGGGCTCCGCTTGGGCTTGCTACCCTCTCTTCCCACGGTGCCCCATCCCTGTTCCCTCAGGATTCGGTTGGTCCCATAAAGCCATTCAGGCTCAACCTAAAGGCAGACCTTCGGGTTGTCCCTGGAATCACGGGGAAAATCGTGAGCGTGAGTACAGGCACATTTTCCTGTGACCGCGGAAGGTTAAAAGCCCT